GGCTAGACTTCGACTTATCTGCCTATCGACCGACCGACCGGCCGAGGAGGAGGAAGCAGGACGAGGGAGAGGAGGATGAGGAGGTATGAGGAGGGAGGCGGGAGGAGGTCCGCGCAAGCAGCGCTTTCTTCAAAACGACAACCCAGCCAATGGAGAGTTGGGAACAGCGACGGACGATGTCTGTCAATGTTCGGCCTCTCTCACTGCACCGACGTTGCAGACGTGCTGCAGCGGATTTGCGCGTGGATTTCTGTCAATGCCAAACTCCGAAACGGCGAGCAAAAAGCGAATTGAGGTTCACGTGGATCCTTTAGAGTCTTGACTCCTGGTAACACTGCAAATCCGCACGAAGTGCACTTCGAAATCCAGAACGACATTATCCAGGACAATCCGGGCCCATCCCATTGTTTTCCAAATGAAATCCGCTCTGCGATGTTGGCGCCATGATCTCTGAGCTCTTGCCAAGCAGTGCGGGGCCGTCCAAACGTCACTCGGGACGACAGAGCCGCTTCCTGGGGAGCGGTCGAAACCTCCAGGGGTCTACGCTGTGGGAAAGCCGCGACGCCAGGGGAGCTGCGCAAGGAAAAATCTGGGGAGGGGCTAAGGGAGTGATGGGGAAAGAGGGAGTTGCGCAGGAATGTTGCGGTGCTGGGAGAACAGGGTGGGAGGCTTGGGCTGCACGGAACCTTCCCAGACACGCGACGTCTTGATGTGCCCCAGGCGCGGTCCCAGAAGTCCCGATCCTCAGGGCGCCCACTCCTTCCCGCGCTGGTTTTGACGGCCCCGGAGGCCCGGCGAAAGCCCCTGGACTCTGAAAATGGTGAAACACGGCCCCGCCCGTGTAACCAGCCTCGAACTTATCCCTATCCCTAAGATTGACACGCCTAAAAACGATGACAATCTTAGGGATGCACCCTCAGAAACTGAGGGAATCCCTAAGATCGCCATGGTGATGAGCCAATGCCCAACATAGGGATAGGGATAGGTTCCAGGCTGGTAACCGTGACTTTCTCACGACGCTTTTGAATGCCCTGCAAGTTGGCCCGGCAGACCGAGCGGCACGACCTGAGCCCTCAACGAGCGAGCGCCAACTGCGACCGCAGGGTACGCGTGGTGCTTGGCTGCCAGGCCGGGAGGGGATGGGGGCACCCCACCGGAGGCCTTGGGCGGGGAGCGAGGCGCTCTCAAGAGGGAACTCGGGACTCCCGGAACGTCTTCGCGGGAACGAGCAGGGGCCATTCGGCCGGACGGGGCCGGAGCGAGCCCGGGACTGAGCCGGATTAGGCGGGACGGAGCTGGATTGTGCCAGACCTGGCTTGCCGTCCGCCACAGCTCAAGTACGCCAGCGCCGATGCTGGATCTGACCACCCCAGGAGTTGCATCCGAAACATCCTGGGGGCTCGTAGCGGTAAGGCCCGCTTCTGGGGATGGCCCGCAAATATTTCCAGTGGCTATCTCATCACTCCTGAATTTCCATGATCGAGAGGGCTGCTGCGAAAATAAACAATGAGTGTGACTTCATGTGCCCCCCAAGACTGCCCAAGAGGCCCCCGAGACGCCCAAAGAGCCTTCCAAGACGCCGAAGATGACCCCAAGACGGCCCAAGAGGCCTCCAAGTGGCCACCCAGAGGCCTCACAAGAGGGCCGCGAGAGGCCTTTCACGATGGTTTTGGACGGAGTTTGGCCTAGTCGCCTTTTCGGCTTTCCGATGCTCCAAGACGGCCCAAGAGGCCCCCAAGAGCGCCCCAAGACGGGCCAAGAGGCTTCCAAGAGGGCCCCAAGAGGGCCCCGAGAGGCCCCAAGAGGCGCTTAAGACGGCCCAAGAAAGCCCCAAAACGTTCCCAAGAGGGGCCCAAAAGGGGGACCACGAACCGAAAACTCTAGCCTTCTGCCCCAAGAGGGCCCAAGGAGGCCCCGAGAGGCCCCAAGATGCCGCCAAGAGGCCCCAAGAGGCCCCAGGAGGCCCCGAGGAGGCCAAAAAGAGGCCCCCAAATGCCCCAGAAGGCTTCAATTATCCCGGCAAAGCAACCTAACATCGATGTGTAGGAGCATATCTGGAAGCATTCCCCTTAAGATTCAGATGAGAATCCAGTTGTAGAATTCTGCTGTTCTCGCAGTCGTAGTCGCACTCGCGATGACAGTCGCAGTGGCAACGGCAGTCGCAGTCACAGCCTCAGCCTCAGCCTGCCTCAGCCTCAGCCTCAGCCTGCCTCAGCCTCAGCCTCAGCCTCAGCCTCAGCCTGCTTCAGCCTCAGCCTCAGTCTGCCCAGCCTCGGCCTCAGCCTCAGCCTGCCTCAGCCTCAGCCTGCATCAGCCTCAGCCTCAGCCTCAGCCTGCCTCAGCATCAGCCTGCCTCAGCCTCAGCCTCAGCCTGCCTCAGCCTCAGCCTCCTGCTTCAGCCTCAGCCTCAGTCTGCCTTCAGCCTCGGCCTCAGCCTCAGCCTGCCTCAGCCTCAGCCTGCATCAGCCTCAGCCTCAGCCTCAGCCTGCCTCAGCATCAGCCTGCCTCAGCCTCAGCCTCAGCCTGCCTCAGCCTCAGCCTCAGCCTGCTTCAGCCTCAGCCTCAGTCTGCCTTCAGCCTCGGCCTCAGCCTCAGCCTGCCTCAGCCTCAGCCTGCATCAGCCTCAGCCTCAGCCTCAGCCTGCCTCAGCTCAGCCTGCCTCAGCCTCAGCCTCAGCCTGCCTCAGCCTCAGCCTCAGCCTGCTTCAGCCTCAGCCTCAGTCTGCCTTCAGCCTGCCTCAGCCTGCCTCAGCCTCAGCCTGCATCAGCCTCAGCCTCAGCCTCAGCCTCAGCCTCAGCCTCAGCCTCAGCCTGCATCAGCCTCAGCCTCAGCCTGCCTCAGCCTCAGCCTCAGCCTGCTTCAGCCTCAGCCTCAGTCTGCCTTCAGCCTCGGCCTCAGCCTCCGCCTGCCTCAGCCTCAGCCTGCATGAGCCTCAGCCTCAGCCTCAGCCTGCCTCAGCCTCAGCCTGCCTCAGCCTCAGCCTCAGCCTGCCTTGGCCTCAGCCTCAGCCTGCTTCAGCCTCAGCCTCAGTCTGCCTTCAGCCTCGGCCTCCGCCTCAGCCTGCCTCAGCCTCAGCCTGCATCAGCCTCAGCCTCAGCCTCAGCCTGCCTCAGCATCAGCCAGCCTCAGCATCAGCCTGCCTCAGCCTCAGCCTCAGCCTGCCTCTGCCTCAGCCTCAGCCTGCTTCAGCCTCAGCCTCAGTCTGCCTTCAGCCTCGGCCTCAGCCTCAGCCTGCCTCAGCCTCAGCCTGCATCAGCCTCAGCCTCAGCCTCAGCCTGCTCAGCATCAGCCTGCCTCAGCCTCAGCCTCAGCCTGCCTCAGCCTCAGCCTCAGCCTCAGCCTGCATCAGCCTCAGCCTCAGCCTGCCTCCGCCTCAGCCTGCCTCAGCCTCAGCCCTCAGCCTCAGCCTCAGCCTCAGCCTCAGCCTCAGCCTCAGCCTCAGCCTGCCTCAGCATCAGCCTGCCTCAGCCTCAGCCTCAGCCTCAGCCTCAGCCTCAGCCTCAGCCTCAGCCTCAGCCTCAGCCTGCTTCAGCCAAAGCCTCAGTCTGCCTTGAGCCTTGGCCTCAGCCTCAGCCTCAGCCTGCCTCAGCCTCAGCCTGCATCAGCCTCAGCCTCAGCCTCAGCCTGCCTCAGCATCAGCCTGCCTCAGCCTCAGCCTCAGCCTGCCTCAGCCTCAGCCTCAGCCTGCTTCAGCCTCAGCCTCAGTCTGCCTTCAGCCTCGGCCTCAGCCTCAGCCTGCCTCAGCCTCAGCCTGCCTCAGCCTCAGCATCAGCCTGCCTCAGCATTCAAAATGTGGCCCGGGAATGGAATTCTGGGAACTCGAAGAACACGAAGTGGCCTACAGTTGGCTCCGGGCATTCAAAATCATGCCCAGGAATGGAGTTCTGGGAACTCGAAGATCACGAAGTGGCCTACAGTTGGCTCGGGCATTCAAAATGTGGCCCGGGAATGGAGTTCTGGGAACTCGAAGAGCACGAAGTGGCCTACAGTTGGCTCCGGGCATCCAAAATGTGGCCCGGGAATGGAGTTCTGGGAACTCGAAGAGCACGAAGTGGCCTACAGTTGGCTCCGGGCATCCAAAATGTGGCCCGGGAATGGAGTTCTGGGAACTCGAAGAGCACGAAGTGGCCTACAGTTGGCTCCGGGCATTCAGAATGTGGCCCGGGAATGGAGTTCTGGGAGGTCGAAAAGCACGAAGTGTGTGACTGTATGCGAAAAACGATCCCCCCCGGCAAACCCCAACGGCCCCCCAACGGCTCCCCAACGGCTGCCCAGACCCCCCTGTGGAGTAATGTGCTGCTCTCTTTTTATACCACTAGAAACCTATCAGTCTTCGATGTTAGGTAAAAATGCCTCCCAGGCGCCCCCGAACGGCTTCTCAAAAGATCCCAAGAGGCCTCCCAAAGAAGCATCTTGACGACGACACTGTTTGGCCCCAAGAGCAACACGAGATGCCAACGAGAGAATTCCTCCTCCGCCCCCTCCTCCTCTTCCTCCTCCTCCTACTTATCGTCATCCTCCTCCTCTCCTTCTCATCCTCTCCTCCTCCTCCCCTCCCCTTCCCTATCCTCATCTTCCTCCTCCTCGGCGGCGCCACAATGGCCCCGAGCCCACGGCGAAGCAGTAGCGATCATGCAATATGGGCCAGCGGGATGAGCGAAGCGATTGACAAAACAATAGGTGTGACTTTATGTGCCCACCGTTATCCCCCCTCCTATTCGGGAAGAGCCATAGGCCGCCACGGTGCGGAGACATGTTGACCCCTAGGCCAAGGCAACTCCCCATTGAGAAGCTGTCTTCGCCGCCGTGTGAAACTCTTCTGGCAGGCGCCTCCCAGCTGGCGAGCCTGGCCAGACATGTGGGCCCCCCGCCTCATACAAAACCGCGTCAGCCGTGCTGATCCTTCGCGCCCCCCTCTGGCCGAGCCTGCGTGGCGGGCAGGGGCGGACGGCCTGCCCGCCGCCCCCCCGCTGCCCAGCGCATCGGGCCGCGGCGGAGGGTCACTGACCGCATCGGCGCATGCTTCCCCAACGGTCTAGGAGCACCCTGGCATGGGCGCCGGGGCCCCCGCCCCGCGGGTCTGCCCCTGCGCGCGGGCATGACTTCTCACCGTCGGCGCTGTTCGCAGAGGCACGAGCGGGGAACACGAGGGTCTGGGGCCCCTCCGGGGCCCCCGCGTTTTGGCCGAAGTCGGCGCCCTCCCTCGAAACGCCGGCCACGGCATTCCCGATGACGGCTCAAGCCACCCGAAATGTCGGGCGTGCATGCCGCCAGCGCTGCCGAGGAGTCACAGAGATCGCCGAGACAGTCCTGGTCGCGCACCAGGAAGATGACGTACGTCTCGCGCGTGACGACGCTCCTGCGGGCCCGCTCGCCGGGCACAGGACATAGAGAGGCAACCACAATGCGAGCCCCACCCCTGCATGCCAAATGAAAAAAAAACTGGCTGGGGCAGTGGATCCGCGCTCCCCGGGCCACACTGCTTCGTACATCAGCCTGGCGAAGAACCCAACCATACGGTAGAGGGAAACGCGCGGGGGAGACTGCAGTCGAAGTGCATCTCATCGGACCCACCGCCAACTTTGAACATTGGGCGGAGGGGGAGGCGTTGACGGATGAATGTGGCATGTGTTCGCTAATTTGTTCCGAGGCCTGTATGCAGTTGTAAGTGACGCAGTTGTGGGCATCGTCTTCGGTGGAGCTCCCTATGGGGCCACGAAGCGTGTGAGGGGTGTGCCGAAATGGGCGCCGGGGCCGCATGCGAGCACTGCCACTGGAACCTTCTGCGGAGGCCAGTTTAGGGCCACGAACCGCGTGATGGGTATTCGAACTGGGCGGCGGGGTGGGCGCATGCGGCCGCGGCTACTGGGGCCTTCGGTAGAACTCCCTAGGAGCCGCGAATCGCTGTACTGGGTGGGGGAGACGCAAGCGGGCTGCGCAAGAGGGACCTTCGGTGGAGCTCCTTATGCGGCCACGAATTGTGTGAGAGGTGTGCCGACTTGGGTGGCGGGACCGCGTGCGAACTGGGCCACTGGAACCTTTGGTGTAATCCGTTTGGGGCCACGACGCGTGTGAGGGGTGTGCCGAAATCAACGGAGGGGACACATGCGAATTGCTCCACTGTATCCTTTCGTGGAGCTCCCCATGGGGCCACGAGACGCGTGAGCGGTGTGCCGACCTGGGAGGCGGGACCGTGTGCGAACGACGCCACTGGGACCTTCGGTGGAGCTCCGTTTGGGGCCACGATGCGTGTGAAGGGTGTGCCGGAAGAGGTGGCGAGACCGTATGCGAACCGTGCCAGTGGGACCTTCGGCGGCGCCCCCTGTGGTAGCGAGACGCGTGGGGTGTGTGCCAACATGGGTGGCGGGACCGCGTTCGAACTGCGCCACGAGGATCTTCGTTTGATCGGGTGCGCCAACATGGGTGGCAGGACCGCGTGCAAACTGCGTCCGCTGGGACGTTTGGTGGAGCTCAGTATGGGGCCACGAAACGTGTGAGAGGTGTGCCGAACTGAGAGCGGGGCTGCATGTGAACCGCATCACTGGGACCGCCGGTGGATCTTCCTATGGGGTCACGAGGCGAATGAGCTGGGACCTTAAATTGAGCTCCCTATGCGGCCACGAGGCGCAAGGTGGGTGCGCCGAGCTGCGCCACGGGGACCTTCGGTTGAGCTCCCTCTGGAACCACGAAACGTGTGAGGGTTTTTCCGAAGCTGATGTGGGACAACATTCAAACTGCATTACGGGGTCATGCGGGGGACCTCGATACGAGGCCACGACCCGTGTGAAGGGTGTGCCGAAATTGGTGGCGGAAACGCATGCGAACTGCGTCCACTGGGACCTTCGGTGGAGCTCGTTGTGGGGCCACGAAACGTGTGATGGGTGTGTCGAAGTGGAATGAATGCGGGACCGCAGGCGCACTGCGCCACTGGGACCTCCGACAGAGTTCCCTATGGGGCCACGAAACATGTGAGGGCGTGCTGGGCTGGGTGGCGGGGACGCATGCGAACTGCGCCACTGGGACCTTCTGTTCAGCGTCGCGTGGGGCCACGGAGCGCTTGAGTGGTGTGCCGGCAAGGGCTGCGGGACGAACTGGATGCCGGGACTGCATTCGAACTGCGCCGCTGAGACATTAGGCGGAGCTCCCTGCGGGGCCGCGGGACGCGTGAGGAGCGCGCCGTGATCTGAAACGGTCGGGCGGAGGGGCAATGGCACGGGTGGCGAGGCGAGGCGATCTCAGCGTCTGTCCACCAGACTGCTGCAACTGATCGATGGGCCACTTGGGGGCCCAACGGGGCAGGGCGTGCCTGCCCGCGAGGCTCGCGGGCCAGCGCGGGATAGCATCCCCAACCGCCCCCACGCTGGCATTCGACAAGCGGCGATCGCGGAAGTCCGTCCGGCAAAGACCGAGACGCGGGCAAGCAAGAGCAGCCAGCCCTGGCCGCGCCGGCCCCTCGGTCAGCATGGCAGTCAGGGGAGCTAGACAGGGTCGGCCTACGAAACATTCGAAGCAACCTGGCCTCCATCGAACCGGCGCCGCCGCGCACGCCCGGGGCCGACGCGCCTGCAGGCGCGCGCCAGGCAGACTGGCCCTCGACTGACGGCGCGCGCAGCAATCCGTCTGGCACGGGCTGGGGCGCGAGCCAAAACGAGACAGCCAATCGCGGGGCCGCTGGAGGCACCTGCGAAGCGAAAACAATCGGGCATGCCTGAAACGGAGACGCCTCCAAGCACGTAAATGAGACGGACAATTCTGCGCAGCGGACTGCGCGTTGCCCCCGCAGGGGGGGGGGGGGCTTGCGAGACGAGAACGCTCCCGCACGCCTGAGGCCAGGGCGACTTCGGGCACGCAGATGCATGCACATGGAACGCGCACAATTTGTCGGAGAACCAGCACGCACAGAGACAGCATGAAGCAGTGGAGCGCAAGCGAGTGGCGCAGGTACAGTCTGCATGCCAGCTCCAGAGGAGCGGCCGCTCAAAAGGGCAGGCGGCGGCAAAGGATTGCGAAACGTGTTTTGGCGAAAACTGCCGCGCGGGTCGCTCACATCATGTAGAAGACGACAGACAAGTGATGGCAAGTGGACTGCCGCAGAAAGCAAACAACTGACGAGACAAGAAACAAAAATCACTCAAATAGGCATGACAATGAATCTCCCCATCTTAAATGAGGCCTGCCTGGGCGACGAACAGCGGCGCAACGAAACCAGGGCCTCCGCGTCAAGAGTCGGCGGCGCCACTTCTCCCCTGCCCCAGAAGACACCTTGGTCGCGAACATGAACGTCCGAGAAGCCTGCGCAATTGCCCAGTTCTGAAAGCCCCACTCCGCGCGCGCGGATTCCACCCGGATTGTCGCTCTTTTGATGAAATCAACCCATGACTCCTCTGCGACACGGGTCATGCGGAAGATTGCCCTGGCCATCTTGCGCCAAGCCACTCTCAATTTGTCCCTGTCGACGGCGCCGAAGTCCCAGCATTCGCCGCCGTAGAGTCTACGCCGTAGAGGGCCGCGGGTGCGACGACTGCCTCGAACGGCCTGAAGCGCGACCTCAGCGAGCATGGGCGAGAACACAATACGTCTTTCAACTTTGCAAAACATCTCCACGCTGAGGGCAACCTGCTTGACAGCTCTGATGCATGGCATTCACCGATGCACACAACTCGCCCCTAATACATCTCTTTGCTCATCTTCGGAACCACCTCGACAGGGCCCCCAGCCACCTGCACAGTGGTAGGCACACTGGCGGTGACATGTGTCAACACCTCGGCCTCCCCCAGGTGCACCACCAGGCCGTGAAAAGCAGCTTCCTGTGTCAAGTCTGTGAGCATCGTTATCACGTTCCCCTTGAGATGTGCGATCAGAAGCACGTCGTCTGCAAAACGAAGGTTGGTGAATGGGTCTGCAGGCTCGTGGCCGACCATGCCGTAAAACTGCCCCCAGCGGCGTTTATTGAGTCCGTCCCATATTTTCTTCAGGCTGCGGAGGCACACTTCCATCACTGCGATGAACAAAAGCGCACTCACCCGGTCGCCGTGTGTCACCCCTCGGGGTAAACTCAATCCCTCCGACTCCGCGCCTGCTATGACCGTCGCTGTCTGATGTCTGTACAGCTTTTGCAATCGTTCGATGTGCCCGTCTCCCGCGCCCAACAAACGCAGCGCCGTCCATAACCAAGAGTGCTCCACTGTGTCAAAAGCCTTTTTCGAAATCCACGAGGCCGGTCCACAAGTCCTGGTTCCACTCTGAGCAGCCATCCACGAGCAACGTGACTGCGAGCATGTGGTCAGACGTCGATTACTCTTTTCGGTATGCCGCATGGTCTAGCGACTGCGCAGAGAAGATGAAGGGCTGGAGGCGGTCACATAACATCCTGGCAAATAGCTTGTAAAGGGTTAGTAATATAGCGATTGGCCAGTAGCTCTTTGGGAGTAACGGGTCCCCTTCTTGAGCAAGACGACCAAACGTGTTCTCCTCCAGCTGGCTGGCGGCTCTGCCCTGGCACGCAACACGTCGTTGAACATGCTCAATACGAGATCACGAAAGGGCTGCCCATTGCATTTCAGCATCTCCGCTGCCATCCCCAGCTTCGCCACTGCATTTTCCAGTCTTCATGTTGGCAAGTGCTCGGTCGAATTCCAGAGAAGAAGTAAAATCCAGCACAGCTGGAGTAGGGGCGTCCTTTGTGTCAACGGTGCTGTTCTGGCACCTCGTGGAGTACAGTTTCTCGCAAAACTTCGCGAAACAACTCTGCGATCTCGTCCTTGGAAGTCCGCTTTGCGCCATCACCGTCTGCGATGCTAGCAATATGCGTCTTCTGTTGTGGGCGCCCCGCTAGCAGAACAGCAGAAACACAACGGAAAATTGTCAAACGAGCTTCGATGTTAGCGCTCTTCTGCTCAGCCAAGCTCCGGCAGACAATCCTCTGCTCAGCCACGCAAGCGAGGGGGCGCAAAGCAAAGAGAAAAATGAACTGCCCAAGGCACGATGGCGGCACCTAGCGCTCATGGTCGTCGGCGCCGTCGACAACGCGGGACGGGCAGTCGTACGCTTGGTGGGACGGGGGCTGGGCTCTTCTCGAGTTCCGCAAGACGGGCCCAACCCGCTCGCCCTGCGACAGCTTCTCGCCTCGGCTGCTGCACGGCGCCGCGCCGCAGCATAACGCTCCCATACAGCTGCAAGTCTGCCCTCGGAAGCGATGACAGCAGCGATGCGCTGCGATGCGATGCGCGGGTGGCCGCGGCAAGCGGCCCTTGGCCCTGCACTCTGCCAAGGGCCAATACTGGGCGCCCAGGCCCAAGCAGCTAATGACCATGACCCGGCTCGCGGCCAGGTCCGGCGCGCCAGCCGATCACGGCATCCGGTCTGAATCCACGGCCAACATCGCGACGCGCCTGTCTGGCCTCCTGCCCGATGGACGTTGCGCCGCGCGCCTTCGCTGATGCGCTGCGCCGCGCCACAGCAACGCGCTCCCCGGCACCTGCCAGCCCGCCCTCGGAAGCCATAGCGACGGCGATGCGTTGCGACGTGCTGCGGGTGGCCGCGGTGGCCTCAGCGCGGCCAGAACGCGGCCCATGCCCCTGCGCTCGGCCAGGCACGGGAATCCGTGCCCGGGTGGCCGATGACCTTGACAGGGCCCGCGTCTTGGGCGACACGTCGGAGGCCTTGCCCGTCGGGTCGTTGACGCCCTCCTGCTGGCTGTTGTCCTCGCTGCCCCCGTCGCTCACGGACGCGGAGCTGGAGTTGGAACTGGGGGTGTGAACAAGGCCCGGGGTCGGAGCTCGTGCCAGGAGCTTCGACCACCGGCGGCGCGGGAGCAGCCTCCGTCGCACGAGCGGCTGCAGTGAGTGCCTCTCAGGCCTGCCCCTCCGCAGCTCCTCCATGGATCCCTCGGCCTAGTCGGTGTAATCTTGAGCCGCGGTCCTGGCGGTCTGGCGCGGGCGCGAACCTGGTGCCCCGCTCCGCCGCGACGATCGCCTCCGTGAGGTGGTGGCGGCGTGTCAAGGCCAGAGTCCCGCTGACTGCTGTTGCTGCTGTCGGCGTCGGCACGCCAAGGGTCCCTGGCCCTCGCGCACGAATGAGCCGCTGCTGCGCTCCGACGTCGAGGCAGGTCGCCCAGCAACCAGCCGAGGCAGCACCTTCGTCAGCTGGTCCGCGCAGTCGGCGTCCGTCGGCAGCAGCCTGCGAAGCCATTCGCAGCTGGAGCGCCCTTGGCCGGCAGGCGTCGCCAGCGGCGGGCTCCAGAAGAACTCGTACAAACATACGGCAGGTCGGGGTCCCTGCTGCTGGCGACGCCCGTGGTCGCGCGACAGCGAGGGCGCCGCAGGTCCCTGGGGCCTGCGCCCGAGCACCTCGAGCTGTCACAGCGACTGGCAGGGAGGGGGGGAGGGAGGGGAGGGAGGAGAGGAGGAAGGTGAAAGGCGACAGGAGGCGCTGTCTCCTCAAAACGAAGACCCAAATGCACAGAATGGTTGGAAAACATAAGTTCGACGCGGAAATCCCAATCTGTACATCGCATTGTCCGATGAGTCCCGTTGTAAGCGTCTGGCTGTGAGTGTCTGGGTGCGAGCGTGAATCCGAGTGGACGATGGATACGGTGACGACGGCGGCTACGATGAGGGACGACGACGACGGCGACAACGACGACGACGACTCACAGACAAACAGGCGCTGAGCAGGCCCCCTCCCCTCTCGTTGCTCTTCCTCCTCGCCGTAGGCCCTCTCGTTTCGTCCTCCCTCTCACCATTTCCCTCCTCCGGCGTCCTCCTCCTTCCTCCTCGTCCTCCATGGCGGCCGTCCTTCTGCGTCATCCTGCGAAGTATTACTTCCTCCTCCTCGTCCTCCCTTTTCCTCGATCCTCACGCCTCCTGTCCCCCTCCCTGGGGAATGTCCTCATCCCTGATGGCCTCCTCCCCTGTTCATCCTCTTGCTCCTCGTCGTGGCTCCTCCTTTCTCGTGCTCCTTCTTCTCTTTTCCTTCCTCTCGTGTCTTCCTCTGTTTCCCCTCCTCCTCCACGACGGCCGTCCTTCTCCATAGATCGAGGACCTTCTAGGGCTCTGAATGATGGACACGGGTCGAAAGTGCAGCACGAGCGCGTCGCTCTAGACATCTTCAAGCATCTGGCTGCCAACGTGCGAGTGCAGCCATCCCTGGCGGCTCCCCCCTTAAAAATGCTGCAGCCAGAGCCTCGCTCGAGACGTCCTCACCGTCTGCGCTGACCTCCGCGGAGTCCAGGCCACCCGACACGCAGACCGCTGGAGACATCCTCACAGTCTGGCCGCGAGCGGGCCGCCGACGGCTCCCCTTCCTGGGGAACCTGGAACAGCGCCCCGCTCGAGACATGCTCACGCCCTGCTCTGGAAACAAACATATCGGCCACCAAGCAAGCAAACCGCTCGATGCATCCCCTCAATCGGGGCCGCTAGGGGTGCTGAAGCTAGCGCCTGGCTTGGGACAAGCCTCTAGAATCTGCTCTGAAAGCCCAAATCGAAACCACGACACAGTGTAACTGCATGAGATTTTCCCACAACCTGGGTCCCAGCCACCAAATTGCATGAGACATCCTCACACCCTGCTGTGAAAATGTAGAAAAGGTCTGAGCACCGAAACCATGAAACTGCCCGAGACATTTCTACAAACTGGCTACGAACGGGGCCCGTGAAATACCTCCTAGCGCCCCCCACCCACTTAGGGTACTGAGACCTGCGTCTTGCTCGAGGCATCCTGACAAGCTACTTTGAAAACAGACGAGTCTGAACACCGATACTCGCAAGAACCGCCTAAGGCTTCCCCACAATTTGCTTGCGTACGGGCCAGTAACATACCACTCTGGCGGCTCACCCTTGGGAAGCTGAAACCAGCGCCTCGCTCGAGACACTCTCATAATCTGCTCTGGCAGCGGACGAATCTAAGCACCGAGACAATGACACCGACGGAGACATCCCCACGATCTGGCCGCGAATGGAGCCCTGGGTAGGTCTGAGTTTTAAAAAGTCTGAATGGGTGAGGAAGAAGAAAACGTAAGTGAGTTCTGAGTGGGAGTGGGTCTTGAGTAAGGGAGAAAAAAAGGGGGAGGATGAGTGAGGAGTCGGAGGTGAGAAGCAGGAGGAGGAGTCGGAAGCGCCTGAATAATAACAAGAACCCCATCTTACGAGATGGGGAATCACAATGACCCCATCTAGGATACGGAGAAACATCCGCGTCCCGAGTTTCAAGACGGCCTACGCAGGCAACCAAAGCAACCAACATTGTCCAAGATGCCTCCAAAGACTGCCCAAGATGGCCCCAATGAGGGCCAATCTGGCCTTAAGACGGCCCAAGATGCCTCCGAGAGAGCCGAAAATGGCTACATTGGGACTCCCAACAAGATGCGAAGTAGCCCAAATCATTCACTATCCTGTGAGAACCTAACGCCGACCCTCCGTGGTGTCGTGTGTCAAAAACTCACGCCCTGCCACTGGCAAGCGTAACCAATTGCCCGGCCGAGACATATCCCATCAGCGACCCACCCGTAACGAGAGGGGAGCAACAATAAATGGGCATGCAACTGCTGCTGTATCCCCGCCTATCCCACGGCAGCGCCCAACTCTCCTGCAGTCGCAAGACGTCACCGTGGAGTCGTTGAAGTGATGCCAGCCGCCGCGGGCCGGGCCGCCAACCCAGCAGGTCGCGGTGTAGTGACCTCCGACATCCGCTCGCTGGGCTGGGTGGGGGGCTCGTACTCCTCCGCTGCGCCTTCCAGCACACCTCCGCTCCCCCGTCCCCCCCCATCCTGGCTCTCAACCACCCTTTCCCCTACCCCTTCCCCTCCCCCCCACCCCCGCCCTCAGGCCCAACCCCCTCTCGCTACCCCTTCCTTGAGGCTCGGAGCCTCAGGGATCAGCCTCTTTTGCCTACGTCCTTCCGCCCGGCACTGCAGGCGCCACTCGAAACGTGTCCTGTGGCCCGCGGGCGCCTGGCAGCTGGACTATTTGGCGGTCACAGCTCGTGGGAGGCACGCGGCGGTTGCCGAGCATGCCATCCCGAGGGCGACGCGCACCCGCGAGCCAATCCTCGGGCTAAGCGTGGTCAGAACACCAAGGCGCGTGGCCCCACGATCCGGGAGGGGAAGGTCCATAGCCACAGCGGGACCAAAAACAACTGGGGGCAATAACCGACGGGACCACACAATATCGAGAGGTGCCTATGGGCCTGCATGTGACGCGTTGCAGTACTGTGGTGCCAGGGGGGGGCCGCTCCCCAACCAGGTCGCCGAGGTCTTCCCTCGTGGCCTTGTTCGATCAGCGCAGCCGGCTCGCCCCCCTCAATTGTCGCAAGAAGCATCAGCCCACGACCCAGGTGGCCAGGGCGTCGTCGTAACCAGCAGGTGCCGAGGGACGACGATCGAGCGGGCTCCCACAGCGGGGCAGGCGCTCAACGGCAGTGAGAAGCTGATCGATCCAGGCACGCCCCGTGAGCTGCCATCCGGGCCGCTGACGAGGAAGAGCTGACAGGGACATCGCCAACGAACGATCTTCGGCTCCATGTTCTGCGCATGGCATGGGCGGCGCTGGGCCGCTGACGCCAGGACCAGCACCAGCAGGCCCAACCTCACCAGAGACTGGACTCAGCAGCGGCGGCACGGGAGCAGTTGTTGGGGTCCCGAAGCCTGGAGGCGGCCTGGCAGCCTGAACTGGTTCAAGCCCAGAAAATCTGTCAGGAGGGGCGGATGAAGCACAATCCGCTCAAAATCGGTCCCCGGATCCTCCCAGGGTGCATCTGGTGTGGATTCTTGCCCCCGATCCATTTTTGACAATCCCGGGGCCTGAAAACAATCCCCGGAGACCGAAAAAGGCAAAAACCTTGCCGAACCTAGAACCCCCAGCCTTGATCCCCCTTCCTGCTAACCGGAACCAATGCTGGGCCACCCTCATACCCCCAGCCGGCTCCAACCCGAAGCGCTGGACTTTGACCTCTCGCCGCCTCGGAGCGGCGCAGGTCGACCTGGACTGCGAGGCTGAGGGTGGACGCCACGGGGCGGCTTCAACCGTCGCGTCATTCCTCGTCGGGCGACGTCCCTCGCGGACCCGATGGAGCCGCCGGGTCTTGAGCCGCCAGCTGTCTGCTTGGGCGCGGGCTCGCCGCACTCCTTGGGCCGGGCCTCGGAGCCGTGCGGCCGGGAGCAGATCCCCGCACCCAGTCGGGAGCGGCAAAGAGGGGGGCGTCAAAGAGGGGGGGATTGCAAATCATGACCGGCGGCATGTGCGCGGCCCGACGGGGGGGCCAGGGACGTAAAGAAACAAGAAGAGGCGCCATGAAATCTGGGGAAATATCATGGCCCCCGCCATGAGATCCACCCCCCCCTAGTCATCACCCCCCTCTTTTCCGCTCCCGGCCCAGGCAGCATGCCCTTCCTCCCCGCGTCTCCGCCCGGGCCTGCGCCGCCCTCGTCACGGGAGAGCCGGTGCCCCGACGCCGCGAGTCCTGTTCCCACGCAGTTATTGGGGCGCTGACCCAATCCACCCCAAATAAGGAGCGAGGCCCCTTTTTCCCAGCAGTTAAACTCAGACTTCCCATGGAAAGCTCCAGGAAGACCCAGGGAGCCATGTAGAACAACTGAGGAGCACGGAGCCCCTCCCCAACGAGAAGGGTTCCTTCTTCAGCGTCCCAACTGTAAGGCCAGAGGGATGTCGTGATGCGGTTGGCTCGGGGGGCGGTCTGGAACTTGTGCTCCACATGATGTGGCCGCAGCGGCCCTGGCAAGCAGATCGCGCGCCGCTCCGCTCCGCGGAACGGGAGGCTCGGGAAGGCTCGGGACCGTGACGCTCGGGGAGCGAAGAAGCGCATAGCGTGCCGGCGCCGAAGCGTAGTGGGCCAAAAGCGGCGAAGCGACACGCTGACCAAACATTTGTCGACCGCACGTTCCAGGAGCTCCACAGAGCGCCCCCTTGTCTGCAGCCCGCGTGAAACGTCAAAGAATCTGGGAAGTCCGGGACATCTAGGACATCTTGGAAGGTATCAGGATTGTGACCTTAATGCCTTTAGCGTAGCATAGGGGGCACTCCGCCCGCAGCGTCAGCCGAGGAGCTGCACGCGCGCCGGCACAGCGCCTCCCGCTAGTGCAGCACAGATAGGCTACACTGTCCACGGCAGAAGAGATAGTTGAGATAGCCAGGACGAGCAAAGACGAACTCCACCTCCTCGCCTGGATGGTCAACATGGCAAGAGAGAGAGGATGATTATGAAGGGGTCGGGTAGGCGGCCTAGGAGCAGGCGGCCTAGCAGCACCGAGTGCAAGCTAAGGCAATGATCGCGTGCACCTCAAAGAGGTGTCGCCAGGGCGTGGCCGAATGGAGGAGCGACAAATGAGGGAGGGAAGAAAGGTGCACTTTTCGGGGCCTGAAAGCCGCTTCTGTGGCCCTGGAAGGTCCATTTTCCACAGCCCTCGCTGCCCCCCCATTTATCGCCCCCCATTCTACGGCGGCGATATACATATCCACTGCTCCCTGGCCAGGCCCATCCTGAACCCAGCAGCTGTGTATACGCCTTCCTGGCCAAGCCAGGAGGGCGTGGCGTATACACCGTTGGCGGGTTCAGGCTGATGAGAATTTCCCCCCCTTAACCCTCTAGTGTTGATTATCCCCGACCAATACAGATTTGGTCGGGGAGAAGGGGCGGCAAGGCCGAACTAGATTATCGCGGGGGGAAGATGCGAATCGAAGTTGCTATCTTCTGAGAGAGCGTGATCCACCGACGCTTTACTGTGGAAAATTGCCCCCCTCTTCCTCCGGAGCCCGGGGTTCCCCCCCCTCCGAAAATCCCCCCCCCACCCCCCTGCTGGACCCCCCCCCCCCCCCTCCCCTCCCCCGGCAAAAACCTCCCCCCTCCCCTAACCCCTCCCCCCCCCCCTCCCCTCGCAAACGGGGGAGGTCACTACCGGTTCGAACCCCCCCTCCCCCCCCCCCTCGAAAACCCGAGGGGGGGTCACTACCGGTTCGAACCCCTCCCCACCCCCGCACTCACCGCCAGCAAACGACTCCCGGTCCCTACCACCGTCCGCATCACATCCCCCACTGTGTTCCCAGCACCACTGTCCTCACCACCACTGTCCCCGCTGGTTCCACCACCGTCCCTACTGTCCCCACCAGTGCCCCCACCACTGTCGCACTGTCCCCACTGTCCCCACCACTGTTCCCACCACGGTTCCACTCTCCCCACTTTCTCCACGGCCCCAACCACTGCCCGACTATCCCCACTGTCCCCACTGTCCCACTGACTCCTCCGCTGTCCCACTGAGCTGTCCCACTGTTCCCACCACTGTCCCCACTGTCCCCACCACTGTCCCCACTGTACCTCTGTCCCATTGTCCCACCGCCGTCCTCGCCACCGCCTTCACCACTGTCCCCACCACCACTGTACCCTCCACTGTCCCACTGTTTCCACCTCATTCCCACTGTCCCCACACCACTGTCCCCACCACCACCGTCCCCACCACTGTCCACTGTCCCCACTGTTCCCACCATTGTCCTCACCACTGTCCCCACCACTACCGTCCCCACCACTGTCCCACTGTCCCCACCACTGTCCCTCACCACTGTGTCCCCACCACTGGTGTTCGAGGGGGGGGGTTCGAACCGGTAGTGACCCCCCCTGGTTTTTTAAGGGGGGGAGGGGTCGAAGCGGTACTGACCCCCCCCTTTTCATGATGAACGGGGAGGGGGGGGGAGGGGGTTCGAACCGGTAGTGAACCCCCCAGGTTTTCCGGAGGGGGGGGGGGAGGGGTTCGAACCGGTAGTGAGTGACCCCCCCCCCGGCTTTCCGCCAGCAGCGGTAGGACACGCTCTTTCTCTTTTGTGGACTAGCGAGGGTCCCTAAGGATTCCCATTGATTTCGTAAGGATTCCAATATATATATATATATATATATATATACATATACATATATATATATATATATATATATATATATATCCGGATGATTCGCATGAGTATACTAAAGATCCCTATGGATTTCCGAAGGAACCCTATGGATTTCCAAAGGAATCCAATGGATGTCTGGAGGAGTCTGATGGATTTCCTCAGAAAGCCCATGGATGCCCGAAGGACCCCAATGAAATTCCAAAGGAATCCAATGGATTGCCCAAGGAAGCCGATGGATGTCTCCAGGATTTCTACCGATGTCCTATGGATGTTCGAAAAATTCCCATGGATGTCGTCATGATTCCTATATAAATGTCCTGAGGATTCCGATGGGTTTCCTACGGGACCGAAGGAATTCCCCGAGGAATCCAATGGACTTCCTAATGGACACTATGAATGCCCGGAGGAATCTTACGGATTTCTTCAGGAATCCCATGGATGTCCGAGGGACCCCTATGGATTTCCAAAGGATTCAATGGATTGTCGACGGACATGTATGAATGTTCGAAGGGTCCCTTTAGATTCCTTCCAGAATCCCATGGCTGTTCGAAGGAATCCAATGGCTTTCCTCAGGAACCCAATGGTTTTCCGAGGAATCCAATGGATTTCCTCCGAAATCCGATGTATGTCCTAAGGATTCCTTCGTATTTCCTAACGCATCGTATGGATGCTCGAAAGAATCCGATGGCTTCGCTCGGAATCCATTTGGACTTCCGGGGGATTCTTTTAGATGTCCCAAGGAATCTCGTGGATGTCCTAAAGAGTCCAATGGATTTCCTCCAGAATCCCGTGGAATTGCCCAACAATCTTACACATGTCATGGGTAATCCGGTGATGTTCAGAAGTAGCCGATGGATGTCCGGGATAATCTTATGAGTGGCATGAGAAATCCTGCGCGCTTCCTTAGGAATCCGATGTGTGTCGTAAAGGGTTCGATGGATGTCCCAAGGAATCCGATGGATGTCCTAAGGGTTCCTATGGAATTCCTAGGACGGACCCCATGGATGTCCGAAGGAACGCGATGGATGTTCGTAAGGTAATCCAGCGGCGTCCTTAAGAAATGCGCAGAATTCCCAAGGAACATATCAAGATTCCTTTGGACACCCATCGGATTCTTAAACGAAACCCATAGAGATGCCTCAGGCAATCATTGGGATTCCAAGTGGAGTCCATGGGATTCCTTCGGGAGAACCCTTACGAAAGTGTATCCATACGATGCTAAGGACACCCATCGTAATCATTTGGAAATCCAGAGGAGGGTCCTGGGGGGACATCCATAGGATTCCTCTTGAAATCCATAGGGATCCTTGGGGCATCCATAAGACTCCTTCGGACATTCATCGGGTTCTATAGGGTGCCATAGGAAATCCATCGGATACCTTAAGAATTCCATTTGATTCTAGAGGAAATCCATAAGATTGCTTCGGACATCCATCGGCTTCCTTTGGAAATCCACAGGGTTCCTTCGGACATCTATGAGATTCCGGATGAAATCCATAGGAATCCTTGGGAAATCCAGCGGATCCCTTCGGAGATCCATCGAATTCTGGAGGAAACGCTGAGGATTCCTGAGGATCCATCGGAAATCCATCGAATGCTTTCGGAAATCCTTCGGATTCTTGAGGACATCCATCTGATTTGTTAGGAAATGCAAAACTAAGAATCTTCAAAACATCCGCCGGCTTTCTCAAGGCAGAAGAAGCGAAGAGCCGGCCCACCCAAGAGAGGCTAGCCGGAGCTCCGCCTCCAGGAGGCAAGCGCGGGAGGACGAGAAGAGAGGGGTGACTCCAGAGCATCCGTAGTTGCGGCAAGACGCAGAAACATCGCCGACAACCGAAGGAGAAGCGGAGGGAAAGCAGTCAGCAGCCAAATCTAGGCGAAACAAATACAACATCGCGAAAAATCAATAACTGGGCCCGACCCCGCATCTTGCATCTTGCTGCGAAACGTTCGAGCTAGATCGATGTGTGATGGTGTCGGGGCCCGAACACGGGCAACAAAAACGCCCAACTCGAAAAATCGCAACGCCCGGATCTCAGCGTCCGCCGAGCTTCCACGCTGGCGGGCCCGGATCTCAAGATTCTCGATGTTCGATTTAGACGCCCGATACGGGTACGGAAAACACGGGCACGATGCCCGTACAGTATCGTCCAAAACCAATAGCGGCCGCTATTGGGCAGGCGGCCTTGTGTCTCAAATGAACAACGTCCGCGGCGACGCTGACAGCGAATCCAATAATGGACAAGAACTGGCGTCGGCCTTGCTACCGACTCTTTCCGTACCCATGTCGGTCGTACCGATCGTGACGCAGAGAGGCGCCGCCACGGCCAGGCATCGCAACACCCGCCGCGGCCGCGCCCACGGGCCCAAAGCAATTTGTTTAACAACCCCGCTTTGTACTTGTAATGCGGGTTCGGGTGGTGCTGTTTCTCCGGTTCGGTCACCGTGTTGCCAGGTTCTTGTTCCAATCCCGGCAGAGTTGTTGGTGCCATTTCAATCGCATTTGTATTTCCACTTCGCTTCGGGAAACAAGCGCCCAAGAGTCTCGCGATGCGAGCGGGGTCACGAACGACGACGACGACGGCGACGGCGACGACGATGACGCCGACGCCGACGCCGACGCCGACGCCGCTGCCACCGCCGCCGACGACAACATCGTTGATTACCGCGACGACCACGCCAACCCCGACGCCGACACCCCCGCCCCATCCGCCGACGACGACGACGACAACTACGACGACGACGACGACGGCAACGACAGCGGCGTTAGCGGCGACGGGTGCGACGAGCGGCGACCGTGCGGGGCGGGCGCGACGACGGGCGGCGACGGTTGCGAGGATCGGGGAAATGCTAACATGGACGAAGAATCCGTGGATCTGGTGCGTGAGCTCCGAATCCATGGATCGGGGAAGGCCCCCTCGATACATATGGTCAATGCCGCCAGATTTGGCCACGTAGCGCGCCAATGTCGCACGAAAACAAGACCCCTCGCGAATCCACGCGCCTTGATTCATGTTTCCGTCTTCTCGGGACGAACGGCGACGGCGGGGGGGGGAGGACCGCTGCCGTAGGCGCCCGAGTGGTTCGCGACGCCCGCGAGGTTATAGACCGCGCCTCCCCTCGGTCGCGGTCGTCGGAGCCGTCGCATGGCGTATTCTCTTTCGACTTCGGTCATCCGGGGGCCCGTTGCGGGCCCCTGGAAGTGGGGAAAATACCACGTAGAACTGCGCCACACCGGTTGGCATTGTAAAACTCGTTTCGAGCCCTGGGGCCGTCACAAATCGATCTTGTATGCGGCATCTGCCAAGATTGACGCCAAGAGCGGCCCCGACGTCGTCGCCGCCGCATTCGCCGTCGTCGCCGCCGCCATGCCCCCCCCCCTCGTCGAACTCCTCCAGGGTCGTTTTTCGTCGTTCTCCGCCTCCTTCTCCTCCTCGCCGTACTCTCACTCCCCCTGCCGTTCCCCCACCTCCTGCTGTGGCTGATGCTCCCCGTCCTCCTCGCGGTTTTCTTCCCTCTTCGCCAGATCCCCCTCCTCCTCCTCCCCCGCCCCCTTTCCTTATGGATAACTCTTCCTGTCGCGCCTCCAAGCGCGTCGGTCGGGCAGGCTCGGCGTTTCGTTTGAGACGCCTCCTCAGTTTGGGTCCTCCGTTGTACTCTTCAGCTAAGTCGGGGGCGCGCCTTGACCGAATGCCACCCCCCCACCCCGCCCGACCCCACCCCAGAAACTCCAAACCAAATCTCGGGCGGTCCACAAAGCTCGATTCCATAACAAAACAAATCCCGCTACCTGAAAATCCCCGAACGGACCTATATCTTCCGATGATCCTCTCTTGCCCGCGCGCGCCACCTGGCGCCCAATCCGAAATTCGAGAAACATCTCCACGAACGAGACAGCAACACCGCCAAATCCCGAACGAAATCTCCAACGAAACCGCGCCGTAGCAACATCCCTGACAGCTCCTCGAAGGAAATCACGCCCTTTGCTGATTCGCAAAAAAAGATCTCAAACGAAATCTCGGGCTCCCGGAACCTCAAACGTAGTCTTCCTCAACGCCAACTGGCCACGTTTCGTGCCGGGCACAGCGTGGTGTAAGGCGCAACTTCATGGTGGCCGACTGCTGTGGCATGGGGCCCATGCTGATAGGAGCTTTGCGCGCCTGTGGAATAAGCGCGCATTGTGGCGCGGATGGGCATTCCCCGCCTTTTGATCGAGCGACTGCCTCGGCCACGATGTTGGGCAGCGAACCTGGAGATCGGCGCCGCGCTGTTCACCGACGCCGACGGCCCTATGGCGCGCTTGGCGGCCCCCGCGGGCACGGGCCTGCAAGCGATTTTGTTGCGGGGCTCCCCACCGCCATTCCCTGGGCGAGCCCGATTATGGCGCCGCTGCCAGCGCACGCGCGCAAGAACCGCCTGCGCCAGCGCATGACGCGCGCGGGATTCGGTCCGCAGTGCACTTGGGGCGGAAACATGTTTTTTTTGCGCGTGGGGGCGGTTTCGACTGGCTTTCGCGCGCCAGCTGCAAAACAAATCAAAGTTTGCAACGCAGCTGCTTCGGGGGCGGGGGCGAACAGCCCAAACCTCATAACGACCCCTGCCGCAACTAACAATACCCCTCGGCCTAAACCGAAATAGCTACGGCGGACAGGGGGGTGGCGGGGAGGGGAAACAGAGAGCAGAAGGAGGATGGAACACACGAGGGCCCAGAGGCGCAGGAAGGACGGCCATGGCCCGGCGCAACTCGATACGTTCGCCGGGCCGGCTTTCGGGGACAGGAAATGCCAGTGTGCCTACGTCCGCCTCCCCGCGCAGGACGGCGCCAGGGCGGAGGTGGGCGAAGAACAAGGAAAGGAGGACGAACGAACCGAAAGCTGGGGCCGCAAGGCGGCCGCTGGGGGGCCAGAGCCGCCTCCCCACGCAGGACGGCGCTCGGGCCGAGGAGGCGGGCGGGGAAAAGCGGGTGGAGGATGGACGAGAGGGAGGGGGTGAAGAAAGAGGGTGACGAGCTGGAGGACGGGGAGGAGGGAGGAGGAGGAGGAGGAGGAATCCGCCGACCCTGTCGGCGTGTGTGAGGGGCTTCTCCGTTCGACTCGTCGTCTCCGTCGTCTCCGTTTTCCCTCTCTCCCCCTCCCAGGGCTCCCCTCCTCAAGCGCGCTATCCAAAGCGAAATTAGACGACGTCGTAGTGGAGTCGAATGGAAGCCCCTTCCCTTTGATCCCTTCCCCGCAGGGGGGGGGGACGGGGGGGGGGGCCGGGGCAGATACGACGCCCGCCGGGGCGCACTTTCCTCGAGCGGGCACGCACGGGATGCACTTCCTCCTCCTCCTGGTCCTCCTCCTCCTCCTTTTCCTCCTCCTCCTCCTCCTGTTCCTCTCCTCCTTCTCCTCCTCCTCCTCCTCCTCCTCCTCCTCCTCCTCCTCCTCCCGCAAAGGCGTCCCGGGAGCGGGCCCCGAGTCAAAATACCACCCCCCTAGGGGGCATTTTCCTCGAGCGGGCACGCCCGAGATGCATTTCTTCCTCTTCCGGGAGCACGACCCAAGTCAGAATATCACACTCCCGGGGCGCACTTTCTTCGAGCGGGCACACAAAGGATGCACTTCCTCCTCCTCCTCCTCCTCCTCCTCCTTCTCCTCCTCCTCCTCCTCCTTCTCCTCCTCCTCCTCCTCCTGCTCCTCCTCCTCCTTATCCTCCGCTTCCTCCCCCCACTCCTAGCCCTTTCGATCAGGGTCGGCGGCACCGGCCGTCAGGCCTCTCCAATAAGAGGATGAAAAAGAGAAGGACGGGAACCAGGAGAAACTCGCCGGCCCAACAGTCCAACAGCGCGTCAGATCCTCTGGCTTGGCCTAAGTTCACCCCTGGCCGCTGGGGACTTCTCCGTTTCTTGGTATTCCGTCTGGATCGTGGGATTTCCAAGCCGTGGTAAAAAGTTCTCCAGCGACGGCGAAGCCAGGATCCCTCGTTGAACAAATCCTGGCGAAGGAACTGCCCACATGCAGTTGTGAGCACCGCAGTTGTGAACCTCGTCTTCGGCGGAACTCCCAATGGGGTCACGACGCGCGCGAGGGGTGTGCCCACGCGGTGGGTGTGGCAGCATGGGGGCGCTGCCACTGGATCCTCCGGTGGAGTCCCCCACAGGGGCCACCAGAGGTGCGAGGTGTCCACCAGAATCACAAGGGGGAGGGGCGGCGGCAACCTGGCGCTGCCTGTGGGGTCACAGAGCGTGTGAAGGGCTTGCCAAATCAGTCGGGTGGCGGCATGCGGGCGCTGCCAGCGGGGCCTTCAGGATACCCCCCATCAGGGGCTACGACACGTGTGGTGGGTCTGCGAAGGTGGCAAGGTGGCGGCATCCGAGCACCGCCAGCGGGCCTGCTGGGGAACTCTGCCGAAATCTCATAAAGATCTCCCGTGAAATTTTGCCCCTCGGACATATTTGTCGAAATCTCTCCTTGAAATCCGCCGACCCTGTCGGCGTATGGAAGAGGCTGTTCCGATTGACTCGTCTTCGTCGACGTTCTCGTCGTCGCCGCCGTCACCGACGCCGCTCCCTCTCTTTCACTGGGCCCGTCGCTGCCCTCCCCTTTTCCCGGGGCCCTCCTTCTCAAGCACGCCAGCCAAAACGAAATTGAGCAACGTCGTAATTCAGTCGAAGGGGGGCCCCTCCCTTTGATCCCTTCCCCGCCAGGGGGGGGAGGGGTCCCAGGCCCCTCCGTGGGGGGGGGGCCCGGGGCCCAAAAACGTCCCAAGACGAGCCAAGAGTCCCGACAGGCCCCGAAGACGGTCCGAGAGGACCCCGAATCGCCGAACGATCGGTCCAAGACGTACGTCTTTGCGGCCTCCAGACCGCCCAAGATGGCTGAACACGCCCCAAGAGGCCTCGAAGAGCACCCCCAAGAGAGCCCAAAGAGGCACAATTCCTGGATGTTTCTTAAGTTTTCAAGGATTTGTGCGATTTCGCCTCTGCAGCTTCCCGACGCTCCAAGACGGGCCAAGAGGCTCCAACGATCGCCCAAAGAGGCCTCCCGGAGGGTCCCGAAACGGGCCAAAGAAGGCCCGAAGACGGCCCAGGACGCCTGCAAGACAGCCCAAGAGGCCCCCAAGAAGGCTTCAAAAGGGTGCACACAAGGGAACCAAACGGACATTTCGGGCCATCCGCCCCGAGAGGCTCCCAGGAGGCCCGAAGAGGCCCCTAAGAGGCCCCCAAGAGGCTCCAAGAGGCCCCACAAGGGCCCCAGGAACCCCCAAGAGGCTCCCAAGAGGCTCCCAAGAGGCCTCCAATATGCTCCCAAGGGGCACCCAAAACTGATCCCCAGAGACCTCCGAGAGCGCTCCGAAGAGATCCCAAACAGAATCCCTGAGGACTCTGACCCACGTCGGCGTCTTCGTCGTCGTCGTCGCCGTAAATCTATAGGAAAATTGTCCCCCTCGGAAGTCTCCGCGGCCATCCCCTGGAAATCTCGCACAAATCTCTCAGGAAACGCTGCCACTCGGAAAACTCAACGGGAATCTCCCAGAAAATCCTGCCCCACAGAAATCTCTGTGGAAATCTCTGTGGAAATCTCACCGGAAATCTCTCAGGCATCTCGTAAAACATCTACCGGAAGATCTTGCCCGCGGAAATCTGCGTGGAAATCTCCCGCAAAATCTCTCCCCTCGGAAATCTCCGTGGGAATCTCCCCGGATTTTCAATCAACATCTCCCGGAACATCTTGCCCCTCGGAAGTCCCAATGGAAAACCTCCAGAAAATGACCCCGAAATGTTGCCGAAACCTGCCGGGAATCTCGCCCCCCGGAAATGCCAACGGAAATGTCCTGGAACACCTGCAGAGCGAGCGAAGAGGGAGCGAACGGCCTGCGTGCCAGCTCCCGGAGGAGCGCCCCCCTCAAGGGCGCAAGAGGAGGAGGCGGTCCTTTCTCCTCCTCCCCCCTCCTCTTCCTCTTCCTCCTCCTCCTCCTCCTCCTCCTCCTCGTCCTCCTCGTCCTCCTCGTCCTCCTCCAATTCCTCCTCCTCCTCCTCCTCCTCATCCTCCTCCTCCTCTTGGGCCTCCTCCTTCTCCTCCTTTCTTCTCCTCTTCCTCTTGGTCCTTCTCCTCCTGCCCCCGCCCTCATACGTC